GGGTAACGTTACACTGCGTCGCCGCTCAGAGAGAGGCACACGGAGCTCTGCTTTCTCCTGGCACAGGTTCAAACTTATTTCAATTTGACAAATTATACAAGGTATCAAGTGCTGATGGAGCAGGTCTATGGGTGTAGGGCGACTCGTCACCCAGGATATGGGCCAAGTCTGTCTCAGGTTACGTTTGACTTTGATGTTAACAACACAAATTTAACGTTAAAGTTAAGGCTAGTTCTGGAAATATATCGGATTTATTATATGAATTATAACAAGTTTTACATATGTTTAAATCTCTTATGAGTCTTGAACTCAAAAGAGCTGAAGGCCATTGTTTCTTCACGGGGGTGGCCATATTAGTAAATGATGTTCAATATAAAAAAAACTCTTGATATTTTATAAAGTATTCTATGAGTACTGTATAATACAGTAAAAATAATCAATGAACAAACCACTCCAAACCACTAAATCATCAAGAGCAAAATTGAATCGTTATTGACATGTAGTTGTGTCTCTGCTTTGGGGAGATTTGGGCCACCTCTGGCCCGTGGGCCAGGAGTTTGAAACCTCTGTTGAAATCCATTTTTATTCCTGAATCAAAGCTCAGCCAAAGTTAAGAATATTTCTTCAAAAATCTTATCTACCTACGCCGAGGCTTTGAATTTAATTGAAGAGGGAAAAGAAAAACAAGAGGATTCCAGGAGAATAGCTGTGGTTGAACGTGTGATGTGAGAAGTTCTCCTGCTTCTTCCAGTAAACTCGTCTGTGAAGATGAGAGGGAGTCTGATTAATTAGGCAGCTGGGTAGAAAGTACCAGAAGCTGCTGTGCTGCAGATCGCAACTTTGGGTTTCAAACTTTTGGTCTTGAACGTGGCAGGTCTGTGGAATCTATTAAACTATTGTAGGTTTTCTCCAAACATTTAAACTGCTAAATTAGCCCAGATATTCAACTCACAACCCTTTTCTAATAACGACTATAAATTGGCTGGGGAATTTTCTCCAAATATCAATATCCATTCATTTGGTTTCTTCAGCTCTACTGCTTCTCGAAAGAAATTAAAATACATTCTAAAAATATTTTAAAATGAAAACTGTTCAATTGGAGATTTAGATAAAATCTGAATAATTCCTAGTTCCAGGTACATTAAACATATCACCTCATGATTAATGTTAAGATTGAGCAGATATTTATCTTAATTAGGGTTTATACCCAGGAAAAAAACACATGGTACTTAGATAATAAGGGAGAGAGAGAGGGAGAGAGACAGAGAGAGAGAGAGATGGCCATAAATGATAAGCAGTGGAATTAAATGTGTTTCCCTTGGGAAATTACTAGGCGGCGGAAAATAGTATGTGTGTAATAATGAGTTGGCATCGGAGCTGATGGAGGAATAGTTATTCAGAGATGGAAAATGAAAACAACACAAAAACACAGTCAGGAGATCAGCTTTCACTTCTTAAATAATTTAATTGGAAAACTGTATTTTAAAAATACTTCTACAAGAATGCATCGGCTTTATTTGTTTACTAATTTCCGGCAGGTTCCTGTGCCGACCCGACACCCGAGTTTCTTACCATAAAATACTCTCTGGAACATTTGAGTTATTTTTAGCAAGAGGAAAATGTTAAACAAAAACAAAACAAACAAAAAAAATATGGTAAATTAGTTTGGTATGAAACAGAAATGGTAAAGTAGTTTGGTATGAAACAGAAATACACAATAGTGCACATGTAATCCAAACAGATATCTGAAAAAAGAAAGTCAGAAAACTGCAATTAAGGGATTTCTGGGAGGATGAGTTTGTTTGATGATCTGTTGAGAAAGTTAAATCGGAAAGAAAGAGAGCAGGAATGCCCTGGAGCGATGAGACAACCACATCTGACTAGAACTGGACGCTGCTGATTGAAATCTTCCAGACTAAAATGATAATCCGTTCATTACACACACACGCAAACTTAAAAGTCTCTCTTTAATTCTGCAAGGAAGAACAAAAAGTTAAAAATTAAACACGTGAAGCACGAACGTGTGAAAAATCTGCTTAATGATTAATCGTTTGCAGTTGATGTGGTGGGCGTTCCAGGATCGTGTATCATTACAAGATGTGCAGCGGTGTTGGTTGACCTCATCATTCACGGATGGGTGACTTTGCCGAGCGGAACTGCAGATCAAATCATGTGCAACTTATCAAAGAACAAAAACAAAAAAAACACGACATTGTTTCCTAACGGAAATGTCGTCATCTGACTGTGTTTAGTCCAGATTCACACGTCACTGATTCAACTATCTTGACATTTGGGCCATCGCTTACATCAGATGTGTTGTTTAAACGCTAATTCACAGTAATTCATTAATTACTAGAGTAAAAAAAACTTGCTTTATTCCTGCCACATAATGCAGTTTTCTGTCACTTCATTGCAATCTCTTTTTTTTTTTTCTTACTCTGTTATAATTTTGAGACTTGTTTTTTGTGTGGTGTCAGTGCAGAACTGCTGCAGTCTCTGCTGGTCTTTGTCGTGACTGGACCGTCGCAGGTTAGTGAAGCTCTGGGAGGATGCACTGGGAGCAGTGAGGACATCTGTATGTGGGCTCTGATAAAACACTGGGAAAATGGGGAACATATTGCGGTTTTGCAAAACGTTCTCTGTGGCTTTTGAAGGACGTGAGCGGTGGAAGACTGAAGTAAGACGGCGGGACGCGCCCACGGCCACTTACATCATACCGTCCCTACACACCTAATAGTCACATATTGCATTGATCAGCCTGCAGCCAAGCAGCGTGGAGACTGAGAGATCAAATCATCCCTAAATCCTCTGCCATCAAACAGCTTCTCTGTCATGTGCACAAATAGCACCATCTCCGTGATGCAGCTGCAATCATTTACGATGAGTGGGCCTGCAGATTTTGGCTCTGTCCGCATGCCAGGGCTGCTGATCCTGCACTGTACTAATCATGCAGCAGCCCGAGACAGGTTGATTGCGGGCCAAACAGGAAATGAAGAGAGATAATGATAGGTCAGCTCGCCGTATGTTCATGCGTTTCGCGGCATGTTCGTGTCCTCCCTGCGCCAGATTGGCCGCTGCAGTAATCGACCTGACAGACAAAGACCAAGAGGTCTTTGTACGGTGACAGCTCTGGGCTGTGATGAGCGTGATGATGTTGTGGAGAGACGGAGCGCAGGTCGGCTAATGGAGCCCTGCACATGGGATGATTGGAGTTGGGCTGCGTCTCTCGTGATGAGATGAGAATCCGAAAAGTCTAACGACCGTGAGGTTCTGATTGTAGTAAGAATCTGGAAGACGGTCGCTGTGTTAGTGACAGTTTCTGGAATAAAAACCGCTGTGGGAGTCCAGTTAGTGAAGATTAACATCCACTTGGAATGGCACTCACACCCATCTCATCTCATCTTTGACTTTTCTTTCAAACCGCTGAATCATTTCACAACAACACGTGCATTTTGTCAAAACACCATTTTCTTTTGATATTTATCATATTTTTGTTACAAAACATGTACAGGCTGTTTAGAACAACAACAAAAATACAATATCCAATTTATATGCAATTTCCTTTTCCTTTAATAATCAACAATTCATAAGGTGAATCCTCTTGGAGTTTTTCTTCCTTCTGATTGTTCCACGTGTCCCAAATGGCCAACAGTCCATCTGAGTGTTGGTGCGGGGGAGGGGCATGGAGCGTGGGGGTACAAATAAATACATGGGGGCAGGAAGTCAAGGAATTAAAACAAGATTTTTTGATTATTTCTAAATTCAGATAATAGTACATAAAAGTCAGGTGTCGGACAGGGTTTCTCTCAGTTTCTGCGCGGTGCATATGGGTGTGCGTGTCCAAAGTTCATCGATTTGGATTGGGGAAAAAAAACAAACAAAGTCCACAGACTATAGTGTAATTGTTTTAGATATAGTTGCTCCTTGTCAGGGATTAGTTCATGCTTTAATTCTCCGTTGTGGCAAATACCAAAAAGCTGTACTGTACAGTATATTTGTGTACAACCCGGAACATTTGCGCGTCCATGCACACTTTGTCTCACAGACGCTCACCCACTCACGCAGCTGTACACACACGTACAAAAAAACGCACACAAAAGGCCAAGTGGTCTTTCTATAGCGCCACAGTCAGTTTCCCCCCGTAATCACAGTCCGCGGGGGTACTTGAGATTGGCCGGCTGTTTCAAAACCACAGTTCTCCTAAAAGTGTGTTAAAGATTCAAAACATCGGAGAAATACAGGAAAACAAAATGCATTATGGACAAAAAAAAAGAAAAAAATGTAATAACACACTCGATGAGCTAATTATCCCAAGCTGTGGAACTATCCTGAGTCACTTCAGATCAAAGTGAAGAAACCAAAAAAATGTGGCTGCACCTTTTTGACCTCTGTCGTCCTCTTGACCTTTGTCTTCGGCCCATTGTTTTTTTTCCTCACCCGTCTCTCGCAAGTGCCTTTTAAATAACACACCTTCAATATGAAGATGGGAGAACAACACAGGTGCACAGTGAAACTAAAGGGGGGAAGAATCCTCCAAAACACTTCTGTTTTTCTTCTGTTTTTCTTGTTTTTGTTTTTTTTTTCCATCTGTGAACTTGAAAAGTTTTATAGCAGGGCGTTCTCTCTTTCCGACGTGGAACGTCCATCAGACCTGGGTGAGGCGGGGTCAAAGGGCAAGGCTTTTGCGTGACGGTCCGAAGGCGTGAAGTTTGGGCTTTACAGGGATGAGGCCAACTTCACTAAAAAACACACATGCATGCAAACGTCACCCCAGAGCTGGTGAGGCACGCATGGGATGGAAGAGGGCGAACTCTGTCCTCCTTCAAACACACACAGTGTAGGATTGCATGGCAAAATAAAAAGAGGGAAAAAATGACACTTAACAGAAACAACCGGAAAAGGGAATGGAGTTGTTAAAAAAAATTTGAAAAAAAAAACAAAACACAAAAATTCAGAGGCACCACAAGCCGGTCTCATTGCGTCTAATTGGCAGAGATGGGTCAGGCAGCTAGGGTTTTCCAATGGCTCTCTCTGCCACAGTTTTTTTTTTCCCCATTTTCCTGTCAGGCTGTCCTTTGACTGCATGGATCTGTGTGTCTGGTGGTTCACACTTGAACAGGAAGTGTTTGGTTCATCTGTAGTCTCATGTCCTGAATGCTTCCGAGAATCTTCTTCTGATGGCCAGCCAGTGTCACCCCTATCCGCAGCAGGTCTCTGCAGGAAAAACAAATAAAAAAAAGAGAGAAAAGAAAATTGAGGACAGGTGCTCAGTCAAAGTGAAAGTCAGACAAACGTCCCTTTATGAATCACAACCCCCTCCTCTATCCCCCCCCCCCGGAACGGGGACAGGTTAGCACTTTAGCAGTCACCCATAAAAAGAGCCCTTCTGTGGGTTAGTCAACAATATGTGGGCACTCATTCAGCTACAGTTAACACAGAGCCTAATGGATCATACTGCTGTTGCCTGACAGGTGTGCAACCACAGGAAGATAAATAATGTACCTGTTAATGATTAAAGAGCAGCCTGAGCTTCTGTTTGGCAGCTGGTAAATTTCACAGCAGTCCAACCAAAAAAAAAAAAAATGTTTTTTGTATTTTTTAAAAATATTTTTTAAGAAATATCCATGGCATTTTATTGAATCTTTAAGCATATGAAAAAAATACAGATCATTGTTAAGTTGACTATTGATGTACAACAGTGTTGTCCACACTTTTTTGGCATGGAAGCTAATGTTCAAATGACTAGACCAAAGTGATCTGCTAACATTAAAGATCTTAGTTCATATTCACATTATATGTTGGGGTGGGGATTGAATGCATGTATGATTGATTTCCTACACTACATACATCACTACTACACACTATAAACTTATACTGGTATTTTAATATATCTGTTCTGATTGCTCGTGGTCCACCAGCACTCCCTTTGTGATCTACTGTTAGACTGCGACCTACATATTGGTCACCTCTGCTGTGCAACGTTTCAGTTGCAGAAAACCTTTTATTCAGTCTCAGTCTAGTGTCCATCAGGACACAGTATTTACACAGTGACAGTGACATCAGCACCAGCGTTTGTTTGGACCAATCTGACAGAAGTGTAAAAACAGCAGCTGCTTCTGCCAACGGGAGTCGGCTGTTTAATCCACGAGGATTGTGTTGTTGTTTGGTTTTTTTTCCTGTTCTTTTGTTTAATCTTTCTTACTGATAACTAAGGAGAGAGTGGACAGCATCTGGGAAGGTGATCAGCTGGCTGGAGTCTGCATCCATACACACACACACACACGTATGCACAAACACACACCAATCTAATCTAATATTACACACAGATGCCGTACTCCTGCCTGTCTAGTTAACTCTGTGGCACTATCTATTTATGAAATGAAAAGACACAACTAAACCCACAAATGATGACACGTACACAACTACGGTACACACACCATCTCACACACACACACACAGTACACACACCATCACACACACACACACACACACACACATTCCCTCCACTGCCAAACTGGGGTTCATCACTGCAATTTCACTCCAATAAATGGTGTTTTTTATGTTCATATTTTGCCATCTCCATCAGCGCTGCGACGGTGGATGAAATGATAATAAATGAGAACCATTAGAGGAATTACTGGCCATTACGGGGCCACAGAGAGCCACAGCACACCACACCTGTCAGCCGGGCCAAATTGAAACAAATTACCTTCACCTTCATTTCCTATTATGCGGCTAATGAAGATGATTTATTTATGATTATAATCTTAATTCATTTATTTGATCATTACTGGCCTCTAAGTACCACCACTGCCGTGACATCATTTCCTGTTGGTAAACACAGCAGCATGTGCCGGAGTCGCCAAGGTCAAATGGAAGATCCTGGTGTACGGATTTTCAGGAAATATGGGGTTTTGATCTGAAGGTGAATGAGGTTTCCCCCATTATAATACCAATAATAACAACAGCAATAACAACAATAACAACAACAGCAATAATAATAAAAATAATAATTATTATTATATATTATTATTAAAAACATTTACATTTAATCTCGTAATTCTATTATGTTTTATTCATAATGTGACTCTAATACACTGCCATAGTTATTATTATTATTATTATTATTATTATTATTATTATTATTATTATTATTATTATAATCATTATTATTCACAGACATCACTAAATTTGAATGAATAATAGTTGAATGGTAAACTACACTGAAGGCCATTATTGAAACATATTTTTTGACGTATTTTTTGTTTCTATATTCTGAGCCAGGTTTCCAGATCTAATCCTGGATGTAGACACATGACTCCTCAAGGTCAATCTGTGTGACACTAATTTGACTCTGAAACTCAGTTAGTCACTCCAGACCTGATTAGCAGGAATCACACACTCTCCCTCCCCCCCCCTCTCTCTCACTTCCTCTAACCTCCCCCCCCAACTCACTCTGATGTCATCTGGGCCACCAGGTCAAAGGAAGCAAAGCCTGCATTGAGGAAGTTGTCGCGGTAGCGGCTCATCTTGATGGCATCCAGCCAGTCCCCCACAGTGGTGAAAGTGGTATAGTCTGGGACGCAGCGGTCAAGCAAGGGCTGGGACACCCTACATGTGGGAGAGGGAAGGACGAGGGAGAAAGAGAAACAGAGAGAGGGTTAAGGTCGTCACTCTACTGCCTCTGACGGGCAACCTCACCCCCAAACGCCCCCCTGCTGAGCGCCACCTCTCCATTTCTCCCCCTCTCCTCCTCTCTCCTCTCCTCTTTTCCACATGTAAAGAGTTGGGTGTTTGGGGGGGAGTAGGGAAGGGTCATGACTGTGGAGAGACTGGCTGGAGGCTTAAGTGATGGATGTTGGCGCTGCAGCTGCTGAGAAGAAGAACCAGTGTGTAGCTGATACCACCTGCTGAGACGTTTAGGTGTAAAAATCTCTTATTTTGCTGTCGCTGACGTTGACAGTGTGCACGTTTAGTCGGGAACACATTTTCCCTTGAAGTCGTGTGAAAGACTACTCTTTTCCTGTTTGACTGGTTGCAGTTAGACGATACTTTGTTTCTTGGGGACTGGCAAGTAACAAAAAAAAAAAGAGAAAAAGTTGTAACCTGAACTGAGCGGCTGTATTTAGTTGCACTTTCAAACTACCTACGAATCTGATCTGAGAAACTGGTTTGGTTGTGGTTTTGCTTGTGAATTCAAACCAGATTTGGATCGCAACTAGGTCCAGAGCTCAACACTTGAGTCTATAAGCCATGTGCTTTACGGTATACAATTACGGCATTTAGGGAAGAAAAAATCCCAGGGTGTTTGGGGTTTTGTTTGAACTCACAGCCCTGTTTATGCTTCCTTTTTTGACAAAGTTCTTTTCTCACATCCGTGTTTGGTTGCGTGCAACATAATCCCACAGAGGTGGAAAGACACTTTGGGAAAATTCTCTGTGACAGTGAAGAAATATCTGGGGAATGTAAACACAGATGTCGCTCACATGTGAGTGCGGTGGCATATTTAAACTTTGCTCGTGAGCCTGCGGACGCCACCCGTGCGAAGTTGGAGTGACTCACGAAGCTACGTGCGTGCTTGGCCGCGCATCTTTACATATATGGAAGTCTTAACTGGCGTGTCTTCTACAGCCTTAAAATTTATTTGGCGTGTTCCCGCCGACCCGATGACAGACTAAAAGGCCACTTCTTTAGAAGGTCCTAACTCAGGGTGCTGATCAATGCTGCAGATAGAGGCCACCACGGGAGTTTTAATAAGCGTGCTACAACTCAGCAGAACCAAGTGGAGTGGATGAACAACAGAGGGGATGGAGGAGGAGGAGGTGGAGGAGGAGTTCCAGGGAGGTGAGAGAGGAGAAACAGATGAGGGACCAAGCAGAGAGAATGAGGACCACTGTCTCCCCTCCTCTCTGCTCTGTTGATCCCTGTCATCCTTTTTGATGGCATTAGATTCATTAACAATTAAAAGAGGAATGAGGAGAAAGAGAGGGAGAAAAGAGTAAAGGCATGGAAGGAGAGTTAATAACAGTGATACAGAGGCTCCATTGACTGGTGTAGATGGAGTGATTTTTAATAAGGTCTACGCTTCGCGGCCCAAGGCCTCAGGCTGTCGTTAACGCCAGACTCTGGCTCTTGTCTTAATGCCGTGTTGTTCGTCCTCTTTCTCTAAAGGTTGGCTTCAAAAGGGTCCAGATCATTCTGGACCACGAGTAAACCACCAACCCCTCTCCAAGAAGCCTGGTACAGTAGTTAGAGAAGCAATAATAAATCCCAAAACTGGTGAATTGTTAATGGCCCCTGCATACCAGTTAAATAAGGTTCTGGAAGATTCCTTCCAGATTCGTATTAACTGGTTACCGAGTAGGTGTAGAAAGAGCATCTGTTTTTGCTAGAATATTTTTAGGAGTGTATCAACATTTTTGCAAATGCCGTTGAACAACCAATGTGTACTTCCTGTGTGTCATGTCTATTTGCTGTGACTGTGCTCTGATTCTGTAGTTTACATTGTTAGTTTACACATTGAACAAACACTGACGACAATAAATGCGTTTAAAAAATGCCTAGTGCTTAAAGCGAACTAAAAGGTTATTTCCCTTTGAACTGCATTTTCACACACACACTGTGTCAGAACGTGCATGCTCACCTACAGCCGCACTTAAGTGTCTGCCAGCTTGACAGAATCATCTCTCACCCCTCCCCTTGTTAGCCCGGTCGACATGGCGCCACCCCTCCGCTGGCCCGTTTAAAATCTCGTTAGTAGCTAATTAAAAAGCGCTCCCATCTCTTCCTTGCATCGCTCTTATCTAGCTAATTAACCACGAGCCTAATCTTCTAAGAACGTCATTCCGGCGGCCAACCGAGACCCCGGCTTCCCTCCTGAGCCCGGCCAAGGACTGTCTGAGGCTCTCCCTCAAGACAGGCAGACCCCAATGCAGGGACAGATAGGTAGGTCATCTCTGCTGTCGTCTCTACTCAAACTTCTTTCCAAGACACAGGTTGAGGAGGAAGTTAGAGCAGCTGATTGCAGACGTGACACTACACAGTGAGCCCCTGGAGGACCCTGGGCTTTAAATGGTGCTACTGACGATAATAATGTGTATTTGCATAACAGCCGGGGATACAGTGGTGTGAACACAATGGAGGCAACTCTTATCAGTTTGAGTGTAGCTATATTTACATGGTGGCAATCGTTACACAGTGTTGAACCACTGTATGTATATGTATACACTGAGTGACTTCCTGATTGTCTTTAATGATTTTAATTGTAATTCACTGCATCTTTGATTCAAATTTCATTCAAAAATAAAACAGTAAGTTGTTGTAAATGTGGTAAATTATATCTAACGTTCACAATACGATGAGACCGAAATTATTTAGGACATTATTTTTGTTTGCACAGGAGAAAACCCAAAGTACCTCAAAGTCCTGCTGTATCACTGTTAAAGTGTATGTCTGTTTTTTTGGTTTATTTATTCACTGAATAAACCTTTAATACTCCTCGTGCTGTATATAACATACTCCGACTTACCCAGTGGACTGTGTGCTGTTGGTGACCACCTTGAGGCTGGCAGCGTTACGGATAAGTTTATCCAGTGTAGCAACAATCTGGGTGAATTTGGGCCGTAGGTTCCTCTCTTTGACCCAGCAGTCCAACATGAGCTGGTGCAGCGCTGTGGGGCAGTCCATGGGCGGAGGCAGCCTGTAGTCCTGCTCCACGGCATTAATCACCTGAGGCGGGAGGAGATGAGAGAAATCCCAATCAGGATTAGTCATCAAACACGGTGTAGAGAGGTTGGTGAGCGACTCAAGGACAGAGTCAGGTCGATGGAAAGAACAAGAAGGGGAGGACAGAAGAGGATGAATGAGGGAAATGATTGAAGGGGAAGAGATAAAAAAACTAAAAAAAAAACCAAGAAACACCAATGTCAAGTAAAATAAAGAATCTGGTCAAGAGTGAAGTACAGTTGAAGGTAACAATCTTAATATTAATTCAGCGCATAGAGTCAAAGAGTCAAAGAATTTCATAAAACTAAAATGGCGTATGTTAACATGTATATTACGTACTTGAGTTATTACAGTGATAATTCCAAGTATTAACTGTTATAATTTATTTGACCTGTTTTTACACTAAAAAAGTAACAATTTATAATTTTAAATATATAAAATTCTAACCCTGTTTTTTTTTATACACATGGAAATCTGTTGATTTTACCATAAATTTGTTAGAGGTTTTGATCTGAGCATCATTTCTCCAGAAGCATCATTCATTCATACATAATGTAGTAGACAAAATCATCAGCTTACATCTTGATTGCTCATGTCCCAGTACGGCCTTTCGCCGTACGACATCACTTCCCACATGACAATGCCGTAACTCCAGACATCACTGGCTGAGGTAAACTTTCTGTAAGCGATGGCCTCGGGTGCCGTCCAGCGGATGGGGATCTTTCCTCCCTGTGGATATGCGAATGAGTAGGTGAGCATGAAATACTGGAGGGATGGAGCACAGACACAGAGTCGCACACATACAAGAGGGAGAGAGAGGGTGAGAAAAACACAGTCTAAGGGAAACATTCAAACACAACATATGGATGCATGCCCTGATCCTGAATGCCACGTGCACAGGGGGTTAGTAACACACTCGGGGCAAATGTGTCCAAACATGCAGCTGTGTTGAAATATTTCAGGTGCTGTGATCTGTGTTTTTGACACCGATATTTCAAGGTGATCCAAACATTGGGGCGAACACAGTTGTTGATGATGTTATCTGATTACCACACAGTTTAACATCAGAGCTTCGAGAAACAACCATCAATCGTAACGGTGACATTGCTCTGGGCGTTTACGCAATGACGCGTTCTCTGCTGAGCGTCTTCATGTTTCAACATTTATATAAATTAGAATTAAACATGTGTTTCTTCCTCTCACTCTTTACTCAGATCTGACACATAGATTTAACTTGTCTTTACAGTAAACCCTTAAAAGTCCTGCCCGATTCTACAATTAACTATTGATTGATGATAATCATAAAAAATGTTCTGCAAAGCTGCTTCATATCTGCTTTGACATGCTTTACTTTACATTTTGCGCCCTGGGAGAAAAAGCCTTGTCAGCAATTTTAATCCAACATTTTAAGTTAAGTTTGTTGGTTCCAGTTTTTCTTTTTCTTTTTTTTTTTGTGGTTTACAAATATGCAGATCTTATGATTTACAACTGTTTTCCAGAAGTGTTCTGATTTCTCTATGTTGACCCATCTTACCAAATTAGAAAATATCCCTTTCTGGTGGCCGTGTGGGAACAGACTTGACACAGATCTGTTTTTTTTTTTCTTCGTGTGACTTGTAATTGCCAATGATCCATTTGGAAAACTGTCTTTAAGTTTTTTGTTTTCAAAAGGACCACTGTCATATTCACTTGCACATACCAGTGAGCTGGTGTAGGTGGGGTCTGTGGGGTCATCCTCCAGGAAGCGAGAAAGGCCAAAGTCGGACACCTTGCACACCAGGTTGCTGTTGACCAAGATGTTACGAGCAGCCAAGTCTCTGTGCACATAGTTCATGTCTGACAGGTACTTCATGCCTGCTGCGATACCGCGTAGCATCCCCACCAGCTGGATCACTGTAAACTGTCCATCATTCAGCTGGCAAAGGAAGAGAGAATGACAGAGATTAACAGGCTTGTAAATCAAGGTTGTGCATTTAAAGTGACACATGTTTACCTCCTTATCCTAAATTGACCTCTGTTTTGCGTTATCAAGCGTGAAAAAACAACCTCTTCCTTCCTCTGCCCTTCGTTATCCACTGTTTTATTTAACATTGTCTAATATTCTGTGTGGCCTCTGTGCTTTTCTTACCCTCAGGAAAGAGTCCAGCGCCCCATTCTCCATGAACTCGGTCACAATCATCACAGGTCGACTCTTGGTGACTACTCCTTCCAGACGGATGATGTTGGGATGATCAAACTGCCCCATAATGGACGCTTCAGACAGGAAGTCTCTCCTCTGGCGGTCAGTGTAGCCCACCTTCAGAGTCTTGATTGCTACGATGATCTCCCGACGCCCGGGCAGCTTGAGACGACCACGACAGACTTCCCCAAACTCTCCTGTGAGAGCCCAGGTGAGAGAGCCAGAGAAAAGGCAAGACAGAGATAGAAAGAGAGAGAGAGGAGAGAGAGAAAGAGGAAAGGGGAGATCGGCATGATGGAATAGTGTAGGACAGTGGGGGGAAAAAGGGAGAGGGCAGAGTTATCTGGTTAGAACCAAGGAGCCAGGGTAGGGCAGTGGGAGTGGTGAGATAAGGGGAACTGCAAGATAAGCCAGGACTCTAAGTCAGGGTCAAAGGATGCTGCTGATGCAGGGAAACATACAATGACATGATGCTGTTATGCTGTACAAGGTAAAGAGATGGTGTGCTGAGCGTGAGGCATGATCATTGAAAATAAAATGAAAATATGAGGATCAAACAAATGCAAAAAAAACAAACGAAAAAACTACGGAAGCTACGGTAACACTGTAAGAGAAATGAAACGGGGGAGGAAAAGGGGGAGGGTGGTGCTAGGCTTCAGAGTGCATGGAGAAACGAGCAGATGAAGAGGATGAAGGTGGACACAAGAGCTTAGGGGTCCTCGGGGTTTTGGACCGTTTACGTTTACTCATGTCTGCGTGAAGCAAGTGCAACAATGCGAGAAAGAAAATTACAACAAGTGGAAAGTGTTTCGTGTGGGTGCGGGAGTGGGGGAAGTGAGGGGTGGGGGAGAACAAATGATGAAGAGATGGATGGTGGGAGGGGTAGGGGAAAGAGGAGGGTGGGGAAGACAGGGGTTGAGGGTTCGTCACTTTAAAGGCCAACGCCAGGAAGAGACGGGTTTCACGTAGTAGCTTCAGTAGTACAAGAGCTGTCATAGTAGTGGAGTAGTAGAAGTAGCAGTACTAATGGTAGTAGCTGAAGCAGTAGTAGGGGACTTCCATCTCTGCAATTACATCCTCCTCCATTTTGGCAAAGATACAAGGCTAAGAAAAAGCACACCATTTGGCACAGTCCTGCAGTTTTTCAAGAGCTATGACTATAAAATATATGAAATACATATATTTTACAAATATATATCTTTTCTACATCACTAAATGTAGGATAGGGAACAGCCACAAGTTGGAAAAGGTGCAAGTGCCAGGAAAAGAAGGAAAGGGATCCGCAAGAAGCTCTCTTTCATCAAGAGGTTCTTAAGACACTCAAACATCGACAGGGTCAGGGACAACCAATCCTGGACAAGAAAAACTTTGTAATTTCCTTAAAGTGATTTTGGAGCAGGAGAGCAGCGATTGAGATGGAGAGGACACTTTGTGGACAAGTGAATTTTCAAACCACCTATTGTCTGTCTAAATGAAGTAAAAAACGGAGAGGCGATGAGTGTGCCAGAAAAAGGATAAACTGTAATTAACACTGGCGGAGATAAGAGAAGAATCACACATGCTTGGACAGGATTCATTCTCTGGGGACAATTTAGTTATATTGGAACTCTTTTTTTTTCTAATTTAGTTATATTTTCTTTTTTCTTTGTGTCGTACACAATTAACTGAAAAATACATTCTTGAACCACTTGTCTCTCCAACTTTTCTACTTCCTTTATAGTGAATTATAATGATATCAATATCCACAAATCTTAAAAATCATTTTTTAATCTTTGTCACACTGGCTCCAGGATTGGGCTGAATTCAGTACAAAGGGTTGTACTTCTGCTCTACAGACCGTGGGAAATACCATCAGGGTGCTAGCTAGGACTGTGCTAGGACTAGATATGCTAGCTCAAGAATATCTCTAACACAGAGTGCAGGAGACATCTGTGTGGAAGTTCCGAGGAGGTGATGTACAGTATGTGGAACGGTAAGGACAAGGAGCAAGGGCTAGCGACGAATTGAGTGAAAGTACCGCTTGATGTGAAGTCCTCTAATGGTATGGCCTGGAGGTGACTAGCACTCTTCCCCCTGTTGCCCAGGAGCTTTGGTGGGTTACCTGCGCCAATGACCTCCTCGATCTTCACGCAGGAGACATCTATCTCCTTGGCAAACTCCCGAACTGCTTCGTTGGGGTCCTCATACGTGAAAGGATCAATGTAGACCTTCATTCCCGGCGTCACTATAGGGGATTCAGTAGCAAGAACAGGAAAGTGAATCTATGATGCCCAGTAAAAAGTCGACACATACATGGATACGGCTACTTCCATCTAGCTATTTATGCTAACAGAGTTACTACCCAATGAGAGATGAGAGGTGAGAGAGGATGCTCAGTAATTGTTTAGTTGAGAAAAAGGAATGGTGTTGCTGCTGAAATGTAAAGTACTACACCAAAGAGACTTACTGTATTGCTGCAGTTTCTCTGTGTACTCTGACTCGGAGCCATTTCTCTGCTTTCTGTTGGGGAAGATGAAACACAAACTCAGTCACATGGACTCACAGCAGGGTGCAAATACCGAATAGGAACAAAGGCATGAGGAGAGAACAGATTCCTTACAATAATGTCCACAGAGATAAAGCCACACTGCTGTGCAGCCAGGGATTATGGGAGTTACAGTATACAATGAACGTCAAGATTGCATCACTGCTGTGTTGTGAAAAAAAATCATATTTAGGGACTTTGGTCTAAACGAAGGATATCGTGCCATTGTCTTCAAACCACAAGTGGAAGTCATTGACTCGAACACCAAGCCCCTCAGTCTTGCCTTTCTTTTAACCACATAGAAATCAGTGTTTATTTCAATTCAATATCCCTCTTATATTTTTTTTTAACCACATAAAAATCAGTTTCAATTCAATATCCCTCTTATATTTTCCCATATGGACTTGTCATCCTGACTTTACATTTTTATTTCTCCCAATTCTTTTTTTTTTAAACTCATATCTATCACATCCTTCTGAAACAGAAATCATATCTATCACATCCTTCTGAAACAGAATATTCCAGCATGAGTCCCTGTGGTCTAGTGTGGATAAAATCACAGGTTGATGTGCTTCTTTGTTCTCTAACCAGTAACTGGGGCAATAATATCCGATGGTGATTTGCATCTTATTTCAAATTCTAATTTCTGTTCCGGAATATACCGAATCTCTGTTTTGTTTTTGTTTTTATTACTATTTTCCTCTCCGTCGTCTGTAACAGACAGAGCGGGAGCTAAGCCAAGACCCTGAGTGAGACACAATGTAGCAAAATAGAAAAGTGAAGAGGCAGGAGGGAGAAGGAAATAAGGAAGGGGGGCTGGGGGAGGGCAGGAAGATTATTATTCATTCTACCGTGACCGATGCCTACGCTTGTCAGGCACTGTCTGAACTGGCTTTGGGAGGAGTCGCAGTGAGTGCCACTGCCAACCTTTTGCTTATATATATACAGTTTGTTGCTTAAAAAATACACACCGTATACAGATCAGTGTACACAGATGAACCCAGCACTGGTACAGCTGGGTGTATTAAAGCTATGAGCAGCCACTTGTATCTTCCTGATCATTTGGACGAGGCAGATAGAGTTGAGTCCGTGTGCTGACTCCACGAGGGGAGGCCTATCAGAGCCAACAGCTGCTCCACCATGCTGTGTCCAGTGAGCTAAAGTAGCATTTTGGCCAAAGCTGTTTACTATTCACAGATTCAAAGGGGCAATCTAGCATTCAGTGTCCTCACAGGTGGCAGGGGCTGATCTGGGCTTGTTGTTTGGGGGATACGCAAGCCAGGCTGACATTTGAAGCTTTTACTTTTTAAGCATGAAATCACATTTAGACCAGACAGCGACATTCAGTGATTTATCTTTGTTATTCTCTGGACTATTTAAGAGTGGACTTTTTTTAGTTTGATAACAACAAATATACACTAACCTGAGACAGACGATTGCAATGACCACAACTGCAATGATGAAGACCAAGGTGGCAGTAGCGGAGCCCACGATAAGTGGAAGCTGTTCCTGCCAGGACTTTGGAGGATCAGCTGTTGGGGGTCAAAGAGGAAAAAATGGTTAGTTAGAGTTCAAGTCACAAAGATGAGCCTACATTTTTTGCATCCAATAATTCAGATTAACACTATGTCACTCTGCATGATGTCCTGGAGAATAATTCTTAGTAACATTAGAGCACTGGATTAACATACTTTGCAGATTTGTACTGAAGTCAGCTGGACCGCTGTATCGGCCATAGCCGGCCACTGTTCGAGCTCGAACTTGCACCACGTAGGCAGTACCAGCTTTCAGACCTTCAATGCGTGCGTTGCTGCGCTGGGCAGTCATAGTGTGGGCTATGGCTTCCCCCTGATCCTACAGAGACAAAGTTCATCAGTCACAAAAAAAATTAAAGAAAAAAAAACCTGGGGAATATTTATTCGAGCAGTGGAAATAGAAAGAAAATAAACTGAAGCTCAGAATGAGGTCGACGCTCACACCAGTTACGGTCGGTTACCTTTTCATGGTACTTAATCTCATAGTCCAGAATGATTCCGTTGGGTTTATCTGGAGGCAGCCAGGACAAACTCATGGTGCTCGCTGTGGCCGCCATCAGGTGAACTGTAGGAACTGCAGATGGAGCTGTATGAGGCACAAGATAGAAAAGGTGACTTGTTTTTTTCTTAGGTTTTATTTATTTATTTATTTTTAATTCTTTGCCTTTTGTGATTTCACATAAGTCCAGACAAAGTCTTAGGCCGTGAGCTTTTGTGAAGCTCTTTGGCTGTTAGTTGGTATTCAGAGCCGCTCCTCACTAATGCTCAAATTCCTCCTCCCTGAGTCCTTGGAGAGGGAGAGGGGATGTCTAACCCTTTTGTTGCAATAAAATCAAACTGCAAATCTGATAAAATCAGTCTGCTGTATGTGCAGTTCTAACAGCCACCCACCCTTAAGGGCACAGATTCAAGCTGAGACTTTTACAAATACAGTCAGATTTCTTCAACAATCACTCATAACTCAAGACATGTCTTAGAGGCATATTTTCATAATGTTTGATAGCTTACATTATGAAAATATGCCTCTAAGAGCATACATTTATGCCAATACACTGCGAGTGAACCACTGAAAAATTACTCCGCCCACCTGGACTACATGTTTTGTGCTTTGTGTCTCTTAAAGGCCACATTTTGTCTGCCTCCCTGTCTCTCTTTTCTCTTGTTCAGTTCAGGTTTGTTCTGACTCACTCTCTCCACTCAGTCTCCACTCAGTGCTTTTTTTTTTTTTCTCACCAGTTTAAGCGTCTAAACCCAAGGGTACCTTCAATTCCCTCAACTTTTTTTTTTCCAATACTTACACAATTGCTTACTCAAATTTCCCAGTTTCACCGTATTCCTTTACTTTTCATTTCCTTTTCAGTGTTGCCTACACACACTCTGTGGTTTTCTTAAAAGCTTTTTAATCCCAAGTTTTAACTTCTTTGATCCTCCCCCTTAGCTTTTCCTTCCCCCCCAGCTGCAAGTGTTTGGGGCTTGACATCCCCACGTCCCTCGCTGCCTCTTTTCACCCAAACCTCCCCCTTCCCCCTCCATTTCACCGTCAGCGTCATCCACCTAGGCCCTCCACATCTCTCTTTTTCTGCACATGACAATGCTTCTGAGACAGATCCCTGGTTACTCCAGCTAAAGGATTAGGGGCCCTCCACTGGGGGAAGATGTTGCAGTAACCATGGAGGTGGCCCCTGCGGCTTATCACTACCCCAGTATTTATTTTGGTTCTTAAAAAATGAATGCACGTAGAGGAATGGTCTTGGGACTACACCAGAGGATAATCTAACAACAGTTGATGCTCTTTTGCCCCCTCCCTGCCTTCTTTTCATTCTCCTTCTCTCTTGGCATCCAACTGACCCCTAGAGCCCAGCCTTCATAAAACAATGAGGACCTCAAACATGGTCCTAGACCCTCGGAACGCAGCATTCTCAGTCAAATGAATCAACGGTTAGGGTTGAGGAACCTGAAGCTTCGTATAGAGGAGAGATGGTAGAAGATGGAACAAAGGATAATCCCTGGTGCAGACTAAAACTGCAGAAGGAGCAAATTTAACAAAGTGATTACACACGTCCATCTTAAAATCCCTGGGAGAATATAAACACAGACAACAGATCAAAAAAAAAGTGGAAGAAAGGCAGAAAGTTTAACTAACCACTGAAATCTGGGATTGTTCACAGATTATGTATTTTTTTAATACATTTGTCGATGTATCGACATTCCCACCCAAAACTCTATTGACTGAATTAACCCACAGTTGGATGTAGAATGCTGGGTAAAATAATTAAACTTTCAAAGATAATTTAATGTATGAAACAGAAGGATTCACCTTCTTGTACTAGGTATTCTGCCAGGTAGTCTGGTGTACAATAACATCGACTGTGTTTGCAGTATTTTCAATGTCAATCGATCACACACATACATTAGCCTCAGCTTATATACCAGTACTGACCAGTGTAATGTCCTACTTGTTGTTATTGCTGTGCCTGAAGGAGCAGTGGGTTGAAAGCAGTGGGCTGCTGGAAAACTGAAGGTTCATCACTTCTTATACCGACTGCCTCGCTATTGCTATTTGCAGACAAGTTAGTACAAAGAGTGCCGTGGGTGTGTGAAAAAAGGTCCCACTCGAAGCTCATTCAGAAGAACTTATTCTTTCTCAATCCTTCTTCAAAGACAAACATGTAACACACTCCTACATGCATATAAGAGACCGATCACATCTTCTCAGTCTTGTTACTTATTCTCTGACATTTTGTTTTTCACTTCTTCCAGCCTTGGGTGCTGGGAAGGCCTGCAAAATCAATACAGACTTTTGACAAGCAGCCATGAAGCTGCTGCTCCACCTACCAGCCTGGTTTGTAGTGATGTTCACGGCAGAGAAATGAGGTGTGTAAGGGCTCTTGTGAGACACTCCATTGACAGCCTGGATCTCGAAACTGTACTGTGTGTGGGCCTGCAGGTTACGGACAGCTACTCGGCGCTGGGTCAGCCCCAGGTGGCGGGGCGAGATATCCACGTTGTCGTCGCACCGCGAGCACATCCCTCGCTCTGGCAAACACTTTTTGCAGATGACGTTGTAGAAGATGTCGTCACGGCTGCCCAGGTCACGCGGCTCGCTCCACTCTAGCACGAGGGAGGTTTCGTTCACACTGGAGATGACATTTCGTGGTGCGGAGGGCACAGCTGTAGGGGTGAGGCCGAGAATAAGTAACACGAGCGAAAGATGGTGTTGAATAATTTTTTTTTTGGTCTTTAAAGAGACATTGTAGTAACACATTTATTATTGCACAGTTTTTAAATGCCCCATTGTAACATTAAATTGTGTCCCTGTACTGTGCACAGTACATTTGTATGCCTTAAGTAGATTTTCTTTTTCTACCGTGTAACAAGAGCCTGTACCAGCAATTTAAAAAAAAAAAGAGGACAGGAGTGAAAATTTGAATTGCATGCTCATTTCCACCATGTGTGTTTGTGTGAGTGTGTGAAGCGCCGGAGGGAGACGAGGGAGACAAACTATTGGCACAGCCTTGGCAATTTTTATCCAATTACCAGAGTCTTATCTCTCTTTGCCCTGTTGTGAAAGAATCAGCTTCCCGCCCCAGCAACAGAAAAAAAAAAAAAAAGAATCCTCTGCTCTCTTCAGCAGTGAATGAATTAACTTCTGCCTGTGCGTAATTACTAGTAACGAAGGTGCTGCTTCCAGACTGCTGCACAAAAAAATTTAAAAAATCATACTTTTTGTCTGTAAAGGAGTGGCAGCAGTGAGAACAGACAAAGAGGCGGGCAGGGGAGGGGTTTGATGATAAGGTTTTGGATAACACTGGGAAAGCAAGCAGATTTGTTTGTCGTCCTTGCATTGAGGTGGGAATGTAATCCTGGGTGGGGTTTTTTTATCAACCAATGAGAAAACTAGTTTGTGGAATTTTTTTTTTTTTACAGATAACAATAGACTTTGCTAGGGTTCCACGGCTAACAAAATGGTCTGTAGGGCCTGCAAGAACAGCTTTTCACATTATAAAAATGTGAAAACATCCATTTACCCAATCATCCATGTATGCTGAGCTATAAAACTTGTGTTGACATATGGAGAAAATGCAAACTACGCTCTCATGAAGTCAGTGATAAAACTGGTAAAAAGCAGTCTTTCTTACTTGTACAGGGAGAGTCCGGAGGATCTGTGTCTGATCGGTAGTAACCATTTCGACAGGAACAAACACTTGCGGCTCCTGAACTGGCACGACTGTTGGCTGGACATGGCAAACAAAAGCCGTCCCCTTGCTTGGACTTGAAGGTGCCGGGGCTGCAGGCTGGTGGCAAAAGTCACAGAAATAAAAATAAAAAATTACATCTTACAATCAAGATAATCTACGTTATTAAGATCTAAAATGTATGTTTTATTCTATTCTTCAACAGAGCCACATGCTAAATCTGCCCTACGACCATAAGGTCATGTCGGGACATCAGCACCAGTCTTCGTAAATACCCCAGCTGCATTTATAGTCGCTGGTTGTGAGTTTATAAATCAGATAGGTTGCAGAAGAACCCAGGAAACGGTGGCATTGGCACAGCGATGCGGAACGCTTTGCCAAGCTCCATATCTTTGATATACTATCTTATTAAAAGATGAGTGCGTTAGAAAGAAGATGAGCGCAAGTAAGACAGGCAGAGTTTACGGGGGCCAGTTGATTTGCTGACCTGCGAGTGTGTACACTTTTAAATATCAAGGACAGACAGCTAAGTTTGTCCTCCTGGATGATAAATAAGAAAAAAACACTTGGTATTTTTCCTGAACCACTGAGGTAGGAGACCAGTTGCGTCCTACAGCCATTCCTGTTGCTGAGGTTTTGGTGCAAGTTCAATATTAACACATAAACCAGAGCGGGCTGCCCCGTGTACATTAACCCTGAGCGTATTTGTTCTGCTGTCGTTAATCAAAGTCTTCACACCGCTGACTAGGAGGAAGTGCCACCTGATAAACAGATAAGGAACGACCTTATGTTTATTCAGGTGGGAGAACAATCTCTTTGATTCGGTGTGGCGAGTTCACCCAAGTTCTTCCGATACAAAGTAAAGGGTGTGCAATTTTCGTCTCACGGGAGTAGAAGGATATTAGTTCAGAGCCCGTTGGCTTATGGGAAGTTGTTTAGGATGCATTCTTGTTAAACGGGTATATTTTTAAGAAAGGTTGCTGATCAATGACTTTCTACAAATAAAGGGGTCATCCCATTCCTTTCATCCAAGTATCCTCGCAGGAACCGTTTAAGGATGCGGAAGACAGTGTGGAGACAAAGACAGGGATTGAGGCAGAAAGGGAAGGAGAGGTGTAAGCATTGAATATTCAACACCCCCATATCCCCCCCCCCACCTCCACCCCCAACCCTGTCTTTTACCCTCTCATGCAGAACACACAGTTTAAGGAACTGATTAGAATGGGTGTTGGAATTGGAAAGTGTGGAGGATGGAGAAAAAGAAGTGAAGAGTAGTGGGTGAGAAAAAGAGTGCAGGGGGAAAAATGACACTTTGATTAATATTAATGCAGACCCGTCGTCGACTGTAACTCTGTTGGCATATTAACAGGAGGAACAACCTTCAGATTAGAAAATAGTGGGGAGAGCGATGGCCAAAAGGTGATGAAAAATGAGCTTCTGGTGCATAACATTTGCAGAGGGAAAGTAGATGAGAGTCATCTTGATAATAGATGGTGTGAGAGAAGAAGAAGATTTATTCTTTGTGGTATTTAGTGAAGTTTTATTATAGACTCTTTTTTCCGGGGTCCAGTCTCTTGAGCGCTCATCAGGAACTGACATACTGTACTCTTTCTCTGACACTCACTTAGGAACCTTCTCAGCGTTCACTTGTCAGAATGATTATCAGTGTAAGTTCTGAACAAAGGTTTCTGGGACTCCCGCTGTATTAACAGTATGCCGTGCACCTATGGACACATACTGTTCTCCATCCAGACTATTTTAAACCTTAGTCTTTTAACTCTCCTGTCTAGGTGTTTTTTTAATCTCCTCAATGTCAATTCATACGTAGCTTTGAACCTGTTGTTCCCAAGTGTGTGAATGTACTTGGGTGAAAAAGTTTTGTGTCTTGTTTTAATTTTAATCCAACCTCAAAGCATCACCTGTCGTAAACAGACAGTTATTGAGTCATTTAGAAAAATATTAACCCCCTATTTGAAATTCATGGAGTCGTAGCAACTCTCACAGGCTGCTCCAGTAGTGTTCTATATATGGTTGAAGACAAAAGGACCGCTGGCCGTTACAGTGAGAGAAACAGAAGCCTACAAAGACAGTCGCACTCTCAGGATTTTGTCCTTCTGTCCTTCAGCCACACTTGACCTCTGGCTACTCACTAATTGTAATTCATTCAACATATGCACGAGATACTGCGAGTCCTTAATGCATATCTGATAACCTGATACATTATTGATTGCCTTAGAGAAGCAACCAGGAAGAAGGAACATGTTTCTGTCCATTACCTTATCTGCTCTAAATGCACAGCCTATAAAAATGTTGGGGGAACGTCTCACCTTGACACTGAGTATCCTTCATTGCCGGTTCAAAACCAGCCGAACAGGTGCAGGCTCCTACGGGAACCATCCATTCCCCGTCACCGTTGCAATAAAGTTTCAGTGGCACAGACACCTCTACGGCATTAGGGACACAAGTTCCTGGTGCAATTACCAGGGATGTTGCTTCAGCCCCTGTGGCTGTCTCAGGGAAGACAGCAAAGTTGGCAATTGTGGTAGAGCACTTTTTATAAAACACCCGAACTGAGATGAGTGACATGCAAGCCCCAAGGTCCTGGAAGGCCAAGTAGAAGCCAGCTTTGGACAGAGGACCAAAACTCCGCACTTTTGTGTTTATCTGACCAGCATCGAGCGTGGAAAAGCTGGTGTCTGGTGCAATGGTGTCCACCTTAACATAAGGATTTTCCATCCAGAAAGGACTGGTGGCAGTAGCTGAGTCTGAGTCAGATTCATAGTAGAAGAGGTTGAAGGTCTCCTTGCAGGACCCTGGGATGTTGGGAATGCTGTTGCAGTCACGTACTGTGAATTTCATCTCCACGTATACACGCAGCACGTCCTTGCGTGGTATAAAGTCACTGCGTAGCCAGTTGTTTTGGTTAAGTTCACGTACGTTGCAGACTTGGTACGTCCTAATGGGGTTCATGGCATCGTCATAGCCACTCACTTCTTCCCACTGTAAAGACAGAAGGTTAAAAAAAACATTTAGAGATTGTAAATGTGAAGACAGAAGGTAAAAAAAAAAAAACATTTAGAGATTGTAAATGTTGATAAAGCCCACAATTATAAACATTCTGTCTTTTACATGTCAAGGATCTTCCTTACAAAATATCAAAAAGCTCTTGTTATTGGTTTTTGGACTTTTTTAACAATAGTCATTAGTCAGCAAATCCATTTCATTCAGGTATTAACAAAGAAATTCATCACAAAAATAGCCATCTGCCAGCCGCTCACCGCGAAGCCACCGTGGCGTGTTTACCTCCTATCTGTTTGGAAATGGCAGGCACACAGCTTCACAACCAATTACCCCTCAATTACAGAGCAATGATCCCAATGCCCTCCAATAAAGATACTGGAAAAGACATTGTCTAACCTTCATGGTTTTGTGTTTTTACACTCCTCCTCCGTGTTTTCGGCGTTATAATAGTACCCAGAGGGTGAATTACCACGGATGAAATAGGACCGAATTTAACAGCTTCATTTAATAAACAAGACTAAACTCAACTATGAAAATGGGTAGAGTGAAATGGCAATCTAATCTCTCTTTTATTCTTAAATGAGGACACCGTGATTAAATAATTTCACTTCAGTTGACAAATTCCCGAGTCAGGAGCGTGCTGTTTGAGACCGCTCCTCCTTTATTATTTGCCATAAGTCCAATCCTGGATAAAAGACACAGAGTGTTTTGCATAAGGCATGGAAATGCGTGTTAATGGTAAATGAAACAGAACACACCAAACAGTACAGTCTTTCATTTCCATCAGCTCCTCTAGAACATTAAAGGAAACAATAGTGAGAGGCGTCAATAACAGAATGTAGAACAGTTGTTGTGGCCAAAGTTTGCTTGGGAACATTTGACTGTCTGGCCACTTTGGCATAACATTGCTATTTTTTCAACCCGAGCCAATGGTTTTTGTGTCTGAGCTCAGAGCATCTTAATTAAAGCTGGGATATGGATGTGGTGGAGACAAGGCTATTAATCCAAGACCCCAGAGGCTGTGAAGGGGAGAGAAGAATGGGCGCAGCACGGTTGTGGCATGAAAGCGATGATCCGTCGAGAGCCGGAGAAAGGGAGGAAGTGACCAGAGGGAATCGATAATCACCAGGCAGGTCAATTGGACGGCTTAAAGCATGACGTGCCAGTGGGTATTTAGTTCAGTATAATAAATCACCCACTGTAAAAAAGCAATACAGGCTAGGCTGTGTGTTTGAAGTCGTACGCTGACTGCATACTAGTGTAGTTTCTACTTTTGTTGTTTGGCCCTTTTTCACACATGGCATTGATGTCCATACTGGGAGTTTGTATGTTCACTGAACTTGAATGATATGGTAAATCTGACTCTCTAAATCAGGGGTTTTGGATGCGTGAACCTAAGTTGTACTGAGATTATACTGATCACTCAGTGTGAACATTAAGACCAGATCTGAACCAGAGAAACCACTGGGTAAACATTCCGAAAGCCTGTTCAGCAAACATCCATGTATGAAGTAGGTCACGTAAATCGTGTTGAGTTTTCTGGCCTTGACAAAATTTCAGAGAAAAAGAATGTTTTGTATAAGAGTAGTGTCATCGAAAGAACTGTTATTGAAAACCAAGCTCCTTGAAATTGGTCGAAAATCCATAGAAATTCCATAAAAGTAAGAAATGTGTTTTTCAAAATATAAAGAAGAAAATATTTAATATGTTCCTGTAGTCAGAGAAGAGGAACTGTTTTGAATGTTATTTGAAAATGATTAATTTCACAAGAACTTCTTGAATATACTCAGAGCTGAATGAAGCTCACTACGATTCAGTGAACCGCGAAA